GCGTACATATCAAAGTGAATCTTAATGGATGTTTCAACGTTTTATCATAAGCGGTGAATATTTCATTCTCTCTTATGTGTTACAGTCGATAATTCATCTCCCATGGAAAGATATTGAGACATTCATTAAAATTTACTTTTTGTGTGTGTGTGTGTGTGTGTGTGTGTGTGTGTGTGTGTGTGTAAAATTATATTATATAAGTGACGTGCTAGATTTTTAACCCTAGCTATACATACTTTTTTTTATCTTTGATATACACATTTGAATCCTTCGGATCCCATCCATATTTGTTACCGTAAAAATGGACATATTTCAATTAGTCTTTTTTTCAATCGATACAGAATTGATTAAGGAATAAATCCATAACATGTAAAAATCGATAGAATTAAGGAGTTTCGAGATATAGGTTCAAAGAAAAAAAAAAGTTCAAAAATATGAAAAAATTTCGATTTAACAAATTGGGGTTTCTAAGACCTCTTCAATCCTATTGATCAATCCTATTGCCTGTAACCGAGCGTGGTTACTTCTCTCATATGCCTGTGATGCATATGCTGATTGCACACAGTCATAAGGGACCTACAGTTTAACATCATGCGTATAGCTAGGATTAATTATAATGAATTAGATAATATATTTTTAGCAGGGAATGAAAACACGCATTACTTCCTTTTTGTCATTATTTTGTTATAATAACAATTTATAATATTTGCGAAAATTACTTTTATTCGTTACTAACGAACAAAGTGACGCGTTAAAAATAACGAATTTACTTTTGTCAGTAAATAACGTATAATGACAAGTTATTTTTCAAAGTCCCAGTTTTAGTGCAAACTTAGCATTTAGTTAGTTATCGTTACAGTCATAAAAAATCGCAACATCATTATCAAATCGTTATTATAAAAAATATCGGTAAAAATTACTAGTTTCATTTTCTGATGTTTAGTACGTTAATATAATACACTGCTTGAAGTTTTATCATGTTAGTAAACTACAAAATGCTTAACCTATATTTGATTAATAATATAACTTGATATACAATTATTTGTTGAATAACGATTTTTTGTCTTTTGACTCTTATCGTATGCAAAAAATATTTTATAAAATATACATATATAGATAATAAAGTTCCATTTATACTACTTTCATTAAGTGATTAACTTTTTAGACGCAACATATTTTTTGTACTTCAAAAAAAAATTGCTTTGAAAAATTGTGGAAGGACAAGGCTATGAAACATTTATGTATATATTTTTGAATATATTTTCAATTATATTTTTTTATCATTAAACAGTTTTTTTATTGATTTTTTTAATGCAATTAACTTTCTTTCTTGATGAAAAAATTTTATTAAAAGAAGGTGAATTTTTTAGCAAAAATACTGAAAAAACGCCGAAATTAAAATCTACTACTTTTCCTAATTAACTTGGTTATTCCGATTGAATCTTACTTAAGTACGATTACTTGAGTAATATTAATATGATATTCGAAAATTTTATACAGTTGCAAATATAGTGCAACTATAATATACAGGAATATAATATGTATTAAATTCTTTTATTATATTACATTCGCTGCTGTACGAAAATCTTAAATATTATATTCATATTTATGCGAAATAATTCTATGCCTTTTGATATACTATTTTAATTGTACTTTTAATTTAATTATTTTAAAGATAAATTCAACTTTAGATCTTTATTCTTGCACTGTCTGAACTGATGCACACAAAAGTACATTCTAAATCTCGATTTTGTCAATTCGAGTTATTTTATCCTTGATATTCACCGAATGCTGAACAAAGATAAAAGATACTCGTAATTTGCTCGTAATTGATAGAGTCGAGTTTTGGAATGCATCCTAGTGCAATAAATTAAAGTGAAACAAACGTTATTAGTTTAGCTTTAACTTATTGCAACGTGTGCAGTTTAAACAGACAATAAAGAATAGACCTTCTGATTGCATCTATATTATCATTTCTTAGTAATTTTTACTTTTCAGCTCATGGAGCAAGTCTACAAATTAAAGCCGCTGTTTCATTTGTATCTTTTTGTCGTATGATAGAAGCATTTAAACTGGTATGTGTATTCTTTACATTTTCACTAAAGAATAAAGTATTTCAATGCATAGTGTTTCGTCGCAATAATAAATAGAACACTCTGTATAAAAAATTTCCAGTCTTTATTCACTTATATAACGAAAAAAATCAGCATTAAGTTTCAAATTCTAATAAAAATAATTATATAATATACCTGTTCATTTGCAATATATCAATTATGTAATTAATTATAACATTCACATTTCATGTACATATATGTATATATATTTTTTTTTTTTAATTCATTTTTACTGAATTTTATTAAAAAGAATCCTCGATGGAAAAAATTTATACATCGTACGAATCCATCAAAAGATTACCATCTTTATCTTTTAACCGTTTTCTTCCACTAGAATAACGTGTTTCTTGAGTACCATCCGTATAAACTAGCTTTATAGTACCATCAGGATATTCTCGTCTCTGAAATATTCAAACAAATTACTCGATATTAATTCAAATTTGCACGTTTATACAATTTTATTTCTATAAAAAAAAGTAAAATATGTGAATGGAACAATGTATTTAAAATACAAAATAAAAAGTTGAAACATTCATTCACCTTATGTGTTTTTGTATGAATTTCTTTTTGTCCATTTGGTAAAATTAAAACCTTGTCACCGTTAACAAAAGTTTGCGCTACTGTTCCATCTGGAAATAACACTTCGACAGTACCATCGGTCATACGCTTTTCCACTTGACCACTATATACAAATATAATTTTTATTTATTAACGCATTATTTAGATATATAATAAATTAGATTTATTTAGATATAATAAAACAAAACAACAATTTGGAGCAAGCGAACGTAATAAAATAATAAAATAAACATACTCGGGAAATTCTAAAATCTCTAAGCCATCGGAAGTGGTTGTATGCCACGTTCGAGTTGTGGCATAAAAATATTTTATTCTCTTATTTTTATCAGTTTCACGAACATCTCCATTGTAATAGATCATTTTTGTAACTTCTTGATCGGGAAAGATCTTTTTGACATTACCGTTTGGATACCAATATTCTATGCGTCCATCAGGAAACTGAATTTGTTCTACAGTGTCCATCCTGGTCTTACCAATCTGATTCTGAGAAGCGGAAGGATGCAGTGTAGAACTTAAATTCTTCTCAAGTGACAATGTTCGATCTTTCCTTATTTCTTTTTCTATTTTTATGTCATTTTCAGCTGAATTCTGATTTAATTCACGAGATTTGTTAGTATAATACTCTATATCATTTGCAACATCGGCTGTTGTATGTCTAATGTTTTTGTTTGTAGAACAGGATTTACCATTGCCTTTTGCATTCAGATTATGTATTTGTGTAATTACTGGCTGGGAATCACTCAATACATCCTGGTTTGTATGAAATGTATTTTGATTTTCTATTAAATCCGATGTTGCGTCTTTTAGTAAATTTTCATATAAATATCGCTTTTTTATCGCAATGTTTTCTTCCATGAATTTTTGATTGCATTTAGGCTGTGATTCAATTTCAACTTCTTTATACTTTTCCTTATTTGTAAGTACATCATTCGTTATTTGTTCAAAACCATCATTTACTTTAATTGATTTCGTAATTGATTCATTTCTAGTTTTGTCTTCATTTTTATCATCATTGTCAGGAGTGGAAGTATCTGATGAAGTATTCGATGAATTGTGACCCATCTTCGTTGAAGTCTCATTGGAAGTAACAACAACGCGTTTGTTAATTTGATTGATAGCTTTCGTAATTACTTGCCCTGTGTTCCTCCTAAGATTTCTGATGTTTGTTCTTTTAATATTTTGTAGATTCCCGATTTCTTGTTTCAATTTTGATATTTCTACTCGTAACACACGAAGCTCGCTTTTATACCTTGATTCAGCAGCATTCCATCTGCTTTCTTTGATATTCAATTCATCTCTCATTTGTTCTAATTGTTCTTGCAGATTTTGCGCCTTTTGTCTTTCCATTTTACTTTGCTTTGCCTTCTCCTGAGCATCACGAATTCTATTTTCCATTGCTATCTTCTCACGCGCTATTCTCTTTTTCTCCTCTTGTAATTGATTTTCTACTCTTCTTCTATTTTCCTCAAAATCTTTTTCCTTCTCTGCATATTGTTTACATCGAATTATCTCCTCTTGTTGTAATTTTCGGCGTTGAAACAATAAAGCTGAACTTTCCTTTCGAAATATGTCTATTTCTTTTTCAAGTTCTAATAAACGATGTTTTAAAAGGTCTGTTTCGGAAGTATTCATTTGATTAACACGTTCCTCAGAATAACATTCAACCTCTTTCACATTTGAACATATTTTCGCTATCTCTTCCGTTATTTTTTCCGGCTCGCTTTTCAACACATATTCTTTCCTTTTATGTGTACGTAATTCTCGAGTGTCCGATGATAATGATGATGACGATAATGATGACAAAATAGATCGCTCTTCATCAGATGTTTGAACAATTTCTTCAATTATTGGAGTACATTCATTATCATAGCATGTATCTTTGTTGGACGATTCGTCATTATAATTTAAAGCATTTTCTTTTTCGAGAATATGTATAGTTTTCCTCAAATGATTATATGAATCTTTTTTGTTATATCCTATTATGTCTCGCTGCAAAGACGATTGTCTTGGAGTGTCAATCGTTTTTTTATTGCTGATATGTATGTTCAGAGGGGAAGTATGAATTTGTTCTTCATAATTAAATGGCAATTTCTTTTTTACATTGAATGATTCTAACGTATCAATGGGACAATCATTCCAATTCTGTTGTTCGAGATAATCATTTAAAGAAGAATTACTTGCCATATCAGATACATCGGTTGAATCTATAGTTCTATATTCATTATATTCTGAAAATCTAACATGATGACTGACATCCACTTCACTTTCATATGTTAATTTACATTCATTTTTCGTATCTCTCTCTTCATCACTATTCGACAATACTGTGGTAATAGATGTATCGTGATTTTCTGGATGGTCTGTGTACGCTTCATTACTTTGCAACATTTGATTAGCAGGTATAAAATAGTTCTGTGTCCTTTCTGGGATATTATCAGTATTTACGATATCCCCATAGGGATTGATAATGGCGTTAGTATGAGAATGTTTATGAAACTGCTCAACTTGACACTGTACATCTGATTTTACATTTCCAGCGTGTGCAATTTGTTGAATCATTGGTTCGATTATATCGCTTGTTTCTCCACTTTGCTGTTTTTTACTTGCCACAACGCTGTTCCCACTTGTTTGACTTAATTTATTCTTTATTTTAAATGGTGTAGATTGCTGCAGGAATGCAAGTACTGTACTTGAGGTTGAACAAAAACTAGAATTTTCTGCCTTTTCTTCCAAGAGTTCAAATATTCTTACCTCCTCTAATTCTCTCTCTGCTTTTGAATCACAGTCTGATATATTAGTTTCTGATAAATGTTTTGATCCATTAGAAGTAACGTTACATGTGACTTGGTTAGTAGAAATAATAGATTTATTAAAAATCTTCTTCGGTAATGGAACAGTTTTCAAGCTTAATTGTCGCTTTTCATTTGTAATAGAAATACTATCCAGAATTTTTGGAGATACATGTCTACGTGCAGCAGAACTCTTGCACTTATTACTTCTATCAATATATTGTGTATTAGAAGATAAAGGCGTGTTACACCTTTTCGTAACTGCAATTGGAGGACGTAAATTTGCAGACATTTTAAATCTTGATAGTCCTTGACCTTTCTTTAAAAATGGTTTCTTTGTCTTAATTTTCGTATCTGTGTGCGCTTTTGACACAATTTCTGAGTCTTTCCGTAATTTTTCTTCTAGTATTGTTTGAAAATCTTTTTTCGATGAAGGAAGAGGTATGTCATCAATTGAGATGCAATTATTTGAAACATCATTCAATGAGAGTGGTTTTATACCTTCTATTAATGAATCACTTAATTCTTTTTTCTGTGACAATACACCAGAACTGTAATCTTTCATAGAACTTTTATTTTTATCAGCAACTGTAGAAATGTAATCTGATGAATCATCACTTTGCTCCTGATTATAATCTTTGTATGCTGGAATAGCATTTGCTGATATTCTTTTATCAATTGTTTTTAATATGCTATCTGAATTTTTCATACTGTATTGAAGCTTTGAAGCATTATCAAGCATTGTTTCTTTTACATCCATCTCATTCTCCTGCATAACACATGTGTCCTCTGTATTTTCAATAATATCAAGGTGTGTTGGCAAACCAAGTACTTTGTAAATACGATCTTGTTCGTGACTTAAAACCTCCCTTTGCATTCGTTGTTGCTTCAATAATCTTTCTTGTTGTTCTATTTGCCATTGCTTTAATTTCTGCAAGCGCTCAGCTATAGACGCTTCTACATCCATGATATTTATATCTAAAATAATTAAAACTTGAAAAATTATTTTTTTTTAACTTCTACTAATAATTTTCGATGCGTATAATAAAAATAAAAATAGCTTACTTGAAAAAGTATATAATGCCTTTTTTAAAGCATTGAAAAATGCAATATCAAATGAAGCATATGCAGTTTGATGCACATGTAAATATATTTAAAGCTCAAATAAGACAAACTGCATTTGAGAATCACGAAAACAAATTTGATGTCCAGATACTTTGAAAAAATATAATGAAATATAAAAATAACTTATAAGTGGCATTTATAAATCAGTTTTGCTAAAGTTTGATTTTATATTTAAAATCCTAAGGCTCTGTACACAATGGAAGAAACATCAGAGACAGGATTAAATATTAAATATCAGAAAAATAAAAAAATTAAGAATAAAGATTAAATGCGTACACAGGACTATGCACAAAAGAAAAAAATATTAGAAATAGGAATACGTATTAAAATTTCAATCTATCAGACATTAGTTATATCAAAATAAATGTTCTAATAAATTAAAATCTTAATATTTATTCCTCACATTTTTCTTCCATTGTTGCAGGGCTCTACATACAATGAATACAAATAAGATATAAAATATATAAATGTCTTATCAGCCGTTATGTTTAATCTCTATTTGCAACATTTAATATCTCTAATTATTTCTATTTTTAATATTGCTTCTATTATATGTAGGTTA